GGGGGGGGGGCTTGCCATTTAGAATGTGGACTCTATCTAATTTTGCATTATTTAATTTTTGATTTTATTTAACTAAATTCTCGATCATTTTTCGGCTTCCGTTACTCTCAATCATGTGCATAGTTTTAAGCAATATGAGATGTATTCACTCAATTTCGTTTAATGTGATGAAGAACTGGTAGAAGAAGAATTTTCCCACAATGACATGAGTTGAGCTGGCGTTATAGCAAATATACGTTTGCTTTATCGACAATCCCACCAAAGGATATGATATGACAATAAGGCCTGACCATCCTTGAAAATTCACATTTTTCCCTGTGACCCAGAAGGCGCTCGCGGCAGTGTAGCCGAGTGGTTAGCGTGTCAAGCTCCCATCCTGCACTGTCGCGGTTCGACTTCCGCTGAGGGTTTTGATAAGACCGATGCGAAGTCGAAACTGCAGTCCACTCCAGCTGGGATGAGAAAAACTCTTGGGAAAGCAAGGCAATGTGAAATTCAATGGAAACGTCAGCTCGATTCATATCATTGTGGAAAAATTATTCTTCTACCAGTCCTTTATCACCTTAAACGAAATTGGGTGAATACATCTCATATGACTGATTTACTGGTAGTCACGACAACAATACTTAATTCGAAGAATATAGTTTTAAGCAATTTTCATTGCCATTCTGTTTCTCTACTTACTTCTTTCATACGCTTACTTTTGCTTCCTCTTTCCCATCCAGCATTTGTTTATGACATTTCCTCGCGTCGTGACCATGGCCAGTGGACTACTCATTCTTGATTGTTTACTCTCCGTCTATCTGATTTATCATGTTTGGCTCATTCTGACCAACCAGACTGACTATGAACGTTACCGTGGCCAGCAGCTGCGTCGGCGACACCATGGATCAATTTCTGGTATGGCCGGAGTCGAACTGCTCACTGGTCACTCTGAGCAGCTAGACACAAAATATACTCAATTCACTGGATCAGACACGAAAGGATCAGCAATACATCCTCGGATCATACAGATTGATCAACCAACTGACATATTATCCGATTTCTCTGGAATGGACTCGATTCGAAAGCGTGA